CCCCAGGCATCCAGTGATTAAGACTCCTCACTCCCAAAGGAGGGAATGCAGGTTCAACCAGTTTCCTGGTTGGGGAACTAAGATTCTGCATATCACACAGCAAGACCAAATTTTATATGTGTGTATGTGTGTGTGTGTGTGTGTGTATACATACATGCTTTACTGCTAAAAAAATGTTAATCACCTCAGTCTTCAGCAAGTCATAACAGTAACATCAAAGATCACTGATTACAAATCAACATGACAAATATGAGAAAGTTTGAAATATTGCATTTACCAAACTGTGACACAGAGACATGAAGTAAGCAAATGCTCTTAGAAAAATGGCAAAAAGGGGGCTTTCTTGGTGGCTCAGTGATAAACAATCCTCCTGCCAGTGCAGGAGATATGGGCTTGATCCCTATTCCAAGAAGATCCCACATGCCACAGAGCAACTAAGCCCATGCTCCACTAGCATTCAGCCCATGCTCTGCAACAAAAGAAGCCACTACAATGAGAGACCCGCACTCCACAACTCACGAGTAGCTCCTGCTCGCCTCAACTGGAGAAAAGCTCGCGCGGCAACGAAGACCAACACAGTCACATATAAATAATTTTGTTTTAAAAGGCACAGATAAGCGTGTCTGCTTGGAGTAGAGTTGCCACAAAACTTCAACTTGTAAAATACAAAAACAAAAAATATATATCTACAAGGCTTCCCTGATAGCTCAGTGGTAAAGATCTGCCTGACTATGCAGGAAACATGAGTTTGATTGCTAATCTGAGAAGATCCCACATGTCACAGAGCAACTAAGCTCCCATGCCACAACTACTGAGCCTATGCTCCAGAGACCAGGAGCCAAAAATTCTAAGTCCACAAGCCGTAACTACTAAATCTCGTGCACCCTAGAGCCTGTGCTCCACAGAGAAGCCGCTGCAATGAGAAGCTTCGCTGTAACTAGATAAAAGCCTGCAAAGCAACGAAGGCAGCACAGCCAGAAATAAATAAATATACTTTTTAAATATATGTAACACACTGAAGCACAATACAAAATGTCTATGTAGGGAAAACCTAATTTTAATGAGAACCAATTTCTCATCAGAAACCACCAGAGGTCAGAAAGACTTGGTACAGTAATAAAAGAAAAAGCCTCCAAAAAAAAGAAAACAGTAAAAGCCTCAAGGAAAATTTTTAAAAAGTAGTCAACTGAATGAAAATTTTAACATAACAAAACTTCAGGAACATAACTAACCCAGGACTAAGAGGGAAATTTGCAACAATGCATAGGAAAGTAGAAAAGTCTCAAATCAACAGAGTAATATAAAATTCTACCTCAGAAAACAAAAAATAAACCCAAAGCAAGAAAAAGGAAGCAAAAAATATAGAGCAGAAATCAGTGAAGTTTAAAATAGAAAAAAAAGAAGAAGAAAATCAACAAAACTAGGTGGTCCTTTGAAAAGATCAAAAAATTGATAAATCTACCAACACTTGACAAATATGAGGAATGAGACAGGGACTATCAGTACAAATCCTGTAGATGTCAAAAGGATAAGGGAATGCTACCAATAACATCACACACACAAGTATCACAGGTCAGACAAAATGGATTCCCTTATTGGAAAAACACAAACTACTCCAACTCACCAATCATAAAACTGGCAATTTGAATAGCCTTATATTTTAACTTCAAAAAACTATCCATAAAAGAAAAAGAAGACAGTCCAGATAGTTTCAAAGGAGAACTGTCTGAAATGTTTAAAGAAGAATTAACATCAATTTTATGCAACCTCTTTCAGAAAATAGAAAATGAGGGAACATTTCCCAACTCATTTAATAAAGGTACTTTTACTCCAATACCCAAACTAGACAAAGAGTAAAACTACAGATAATAAAACTCATGAACAGACAAAAATCCTTATCAAAATACAATGCCTCTGAGGTCAGAAAAAAATACATCCAGTCTCATCAATCTTAATCAACATGGTGCTGAAACAATTATGCAAGCATAACAGGCACATAAATTAAGAAGGAAGAAATAAAAATAATCTTATTTGCAGATGACACAATTATCACTGTAACAAAACTCCCAGAGTAAGTGAAGGCAACAAGGTTGCAGGATGCAAGATAAATATAAAAATCAATTGTTATTTCCATATACTACCAATAAATGGGCTTCCCAAGTGGTGCAGTGATTAAGAATCTGCCTGCCGATGCAGGAGATGCAAGAGATGAGGGTTTGATCCCTGGGTCAGGAAGATCCCCTGGTGAGGAAATAGCAACCCACTCCAGTATTCTTGCCTGGAAAATTCTATGGGTAGAGGAGCCTAGCAGGCTACAGCCCACGGGGTCGCAGAGTCAGACATGACTAAACATGCACAAATGCACCAATAAATACATGGACATGAAAATTAAACATACAACACTATATATAATTGCTTCCCTCAAAATTAAATACTTAGGGTATAAATCCACAAAATGTGCACAGGACTTAGGCTGAAAATTATATAAAACTGAACGGAATAAACAAGAAGATGTAAGTAAATGCAAAGACACAGAATATTCATATATTAGAAAATTCAACACAGTAAAGATGCCAGTTCTCCACAAATTGATATTCAGTTTAACGGTATCCTATCAAAATTCTAGCAGGATTTTTGGACAAAGACAGGTTACTTATATTTATATATATATATATATAATTAAATTTAAACTCAACAATGCAAAGAAACTAGACAGCCAAAACAATTTTGAAAAAGAATAAAGTGAAATGAGTTGTCTAACTATAAATGAACAATTCAAAAATGAAATTAAGAAAACAATTAATTGCATTTATAAGAGTATCAAAAAAGAAAAGAAAACCTTGGGAATAAATTTATCCAAAGACAAAGAACTTGTACACTGAAAACTACATGATGCTGCTAAAAAAAATTAAAGATGACACAATTGTAAGTTTATGGACTGAAAGAATGTTGTTAAGATGTATTCACTATCCAAAGTGATCTACAGATTCAGTACAACTGCTACCAAAATCCTGAGAACATTTTACAAAGAAACAGGGAATAATTCCTAAAATTCATTTGAAATCTCAAGGCACCCTGAATCGGCACTAAAATCATGAAAATGAAGAACAAAGTCAGAGGACTTACACTTCCACATTTCAAATCATACTACAAAGCTACAGTAACCAAAGTGGTCTGCACAAGCATAAAGACAGACATATAGAACAATGGAAAAAAAACAGAGAGCCAGGAAATAAATCCTTGAATGCATGTGTCCAACTCACTGCAACCCTATGGACTGGGGCCTGCCAGGCTCCTCTGTCCGTGGGATTCTCCAGGCAAGAATACTGGAGTGAGTTGCCATGCCCTCCTCCAGGAGATCTTCCTGACCCAGTGATCAAATCCCCATCTCCTGCATTGCAGGTGGATTCTTTACTCACTGAGCCACCTGGGAAGCTCTAAATCCTTGCATACACGGTCAAAAGACTTTTGATAAAGAAGCCAAGCCATTCAATAGGGAGAAAAGCACCTTTTCAACAAATGATGCAAGGAAAAGTATATATCCACATGCAAACAATAAAGTTGAAATCTTACCTTATAGCGTGTACAAAAATTAACTCAATGGATCAAATCCTAAATAAATATAAGGGTTAAAACTTAAAAAACACTTGAAAGAGAAAATATAAGCGAAATCTTTGTGATACTGGATTTGGCCATCATTTCGTGGACGTGACACAGAAAGCACAAGCATCAAAAGAAAAAAGATAAACTGAACATCATCAAAATTAAAACTTCTGTGCATCTAAGAACACTATCATTAAGAGTGAACAAACCCACAGGAAAAAATATTTGTAAATCATGTATCTGATAAGGGTCTAGATCCAGAAACAGATAGAAACCTCTTACAATTCAACAACAAGAAGACAAACAACCCAATTACAAAATGGGCAAAGAACTGAATAGGCAATTCTCCAAAGATTTACAAATAGCCAGAAAGCATAGGAAAAGATGCTCACCATTACTAACCAGTATGGAAATACAAATCAAAACCACAAGGAGTTACCACTTCACACCAACATAGCTCTTATCAAAATGATGAGCTGGAAGATATGCGGACAAACTAGAACCCTCATGTGTTTCCAACAGGAACATAAAATAGTACAGTCACTGTGAAAAACATTTTGGCAATTCCTCCGGAGAAGGCAACCCACCCCAGTACTCTTGCCTGGAGAATCCCATGGACAGAAGAGCCTGTTCGGCTGCAGACCATAGGGTTGCTAAGAGTAGGACACAACTGAGCAACTTCACTTTCACTTTTTACTTTCATGCATTGGAGAAGGAAATGGCAACCCACTCCAGTGTTCTTGCCTGGAGAATCCCAGGGACGGGGGAGCCTGGTGGGCTGCCGTCTATGGGGTTGCACAGAGTCGGACACAACTGATGTGACTTAGAAGCAGCAGCAGCAAAATGCTAAACACAGAATTATCATATAATCCAGCAATTTCACTCCTAGTATACACCTGAAAAAACTTAAAAGAGGGACTCAAATAAATACATGTACATCAGTGTTCACAGTAGCATTATTCACAATAGTCATAAGGTTGAAACAATCCAACTGTCCATCAAAACATGAATGGATAAACAAAATGTGAGGCTTCCCTGGTGTCTCAGTGGTAAAGAAACTGCCTGCCAAATGCAGGAGACTCAGGTTCAACCCCTGATCCAGGAAGATCCCACATGACACAGAGCAACTAAGCCCATGCACCACAACTACTGAGTCTGTGATCTACAGCCTGGGAATCGCAACCCACTGAAGCTGGCAAGTCCTAGAGCCTGTGCTCCACAAAACAGAACCAGCCGTAATGAGAAACCCAGGCATCACAAGGAGAGAGTAGCCTCTGCTAACTACAACTAGAGAAAAGCCCATGCAGCAACAAAGTCCCAGCATAGCCAAAAATAAATATTTTTTTTAAAAATGTGATGCATCCATACGATGGAATATTATTCAGCCATAAAAAGAAAATTCTGACACATGTACAACATGGATGATGTTAAAAGTTTTTTTTTTTTTTTACATATGATATAAACGCTTTATTAACAGCAGATCCACCTGGTGGGCCACGGCGTCAACCCAGACATCCAGCACCCAGTCACAAGTTCAGCGCAGCCTCCGAGCCTCTCGCTCTGACTCCAACAGGGTGAGCACGTCGCCCTCACGCACGGGGCCTTTCACGTTTCGGATGATGGAGCGGCTCGTGTTGTCCATGAATTCTACGCGCACCTGCGTGCACTGTCCCTGCGAACCGGTCCTGCCCAACACCTTGGTGACCCTGGCAAGCTTGATGGGCTGCACACGGCTCGTGTCCATGATGGTGGCGCGGCGGCGGTCAGGGGGAGGGTGTTAAAAGTTTTAATGAAACTGCGAAATAAGCTAAATAAAAAGGACATATTGCATGATCACTTTTTTTTTTTTTGCATGATCACACTTAAATGAGGTATAGATAGCAGACAAATTTCATAAAGACAGAAAGTAGACTACTAGAAGTTACCAGGGGCTGGGAAGAGGGTGAAATGGGGAGTTCTACTTTAATGGGTAGTTTCCATTTGGAATGATGAAAAAGTTCTGGAAATAGGTGATGGTCATACAACATTAAGAATGTATTTAATGCCACTGAATTGCATACTCAAAAATGGCTAAAATGATCAATTTTATGCTGTATACATTTCACCAGAATTAAAAAAGAAAACCTAACAATTGGAGACCACTATGTTCATAGACTTGAAAGATTAAAAACTGTAAACAGATGTCACAAACTGATTTACAGAATGAATGTAAAGCTAATCAAAACACCAAATGGATTTTTCATGGAACAATATGATTCTAAATGGTTATCAAATGCAAAGAGCAACAGGCAAGAAAATAAAAATAAGAAGACAAAGACAAGAGGAAAACTACCAATGCTCATTTTATTTGAGAAAGAAATATCAATGCTCATTTTATTTGATATCTCATGTCCAGATTTTAAAGAGCTAGAGCAATTTTAAAACTGGTCATTGGCACAAAGATAAGACAAATCAAAAGTACAGAATAGCAAGTCCAAAAAGAAATCTACACATATATGAAGGGCTGATTCAAGACCTGGTGCCACAGTACAGTAAAATAAGAAAGAAAAGTGTTAAAGTAACTGGATGTTCCTATTTAATATAATATGTTATTTGTATAATTTATATAAAATACATAAATACATAATATACATAAAATAAGTGTTTTTGCCCTATTTTATTCTATACATGAAATCAAATCCAGATGGGTGGGTTGATTATAGACCTAAATGTAAAAAGCAGTAAAAAAAAAAAAAAGAATTTCTTTTATAGGAAAATCATTTCATGACCTCAAGTTAGGACAAGATTTAACAAGTTGCAAAAAACACTAACCACAAAAAAAAAAACAACACACAACCAAAAAAACCCACCTGAAAATTCTGACTAAAGTGAAATTAAAAACTTTTTATTAAAAGAATTTTTTAAAAAAACCCACTAACCCAGAGAAGCCATCTCCAAGTCACAAGTGAGAAAATCTACATGGCCTATAAATACACAAAAAGGGGTTTTACCATCATTATTATCAGGGAATTAAGGTAAAAATCACTACAAAATGACTACATTTAAGAAAACTGACATCCTAAGCACTGCATGAAGGATGTTAAATAAAGAAGCCATGCACTGATGGGAAAAGTAAAGTGAAATAAGCACTTCTAGAAAAGAAGTGGCCTTCCTGGCAACCTACCAACTCTACCTCTAGGACATATCCTCGAGTAATTATTTCTCAAGCCTTCTTGATCATGAACCACTCTAAGAAATACACTTTTCATTGCAATTCCATATACACAAACACACACGACACTGAAAATGCAGTCAATTTTTTTTCTGTTCTAATTTTTTAATGCTGGTTGCTCCCTGCTAAATTGATTTTATGACCCTTTTTGGAGCAATCCCAGCAGTTTGATCAGTTGTGAGCTAAATTCCTACAGGTGTACAAGTACATTCACAGAAGTGTCCATAAGCTGCAGAACACTGACAAAAACCCGCATGTACATCAACAAGAGAACAGATGGTGGGATAATCACAGACTGAAATATTACAGAACAAAGAAAAGGAATAAACTATAGATACAGTCATCAAACTGATGAATCGCAGGAGTACTGTGAATCAAAAATAGCAATACAGCATTACTCCATTTATAGGAAGTTCAAAACAGCCACAACTAAACAAAATACTGTTTAAAAATAAAACTGAAAAGAACACCACAAAATTCAGCAAAGTGTTTCCTTCTGATGAAGAGAGGAATGCACTCAGAGTCACACAGGAGTCAAGGGTATGGGAAATGCCCTACTTATTAAAATTTGGTCACTAAATACATAGATACTCACTTGATTATTTTAAGTGGGTAGTTCACCCTCTTTACTCTGCAACAAAGACCTTACAATAAAATATAAGTTAAAGTTACAGGCTTCCATTGTGGTTCAGTGGTTAAGAATCTGCCTGCCAAATGCAGGGGAGATCCTGCATCTCCCCAGGGATCACAGGTCTGATCCCTGAACCAGGAAGATTCCACATGCCTCAGGGCAACTAAGCCCAAGTACCACAACTACTGAGCCCATGCATCACAACTACTTAAGTCCATGCACCTAGAGCCTGTGCTCCACAACAGGAGAAACCACAGCAACTGCAAACAGAGAAAGCCAGTGGGCAGCAGCGAAGACCCAGCACAGCCAGATAAATAAATATTTTTAACTCAATAAAAATAAGTTATGATAATCCTACACACACACACACACACACACGTGAGAAAAGTAAATTAAAATACATAGTATTGGCTCAAAGAAATTAGGAATCTGTTTGAATATGAATAAAATATCAATCCTTTCACGGCTTATAATGCACAACTATTTGTACAAATGACAAAAGAAATATATTTTCACATACATATCCATATATCAAAGAAATGGAGTGTGTTTGGGAAAAAATAAAACTAGCACTTCCCCCAAAAGTCAGTTGCCAAAAGCAGTCATCCATCCATAAACATTTATTGTATGTTGTCAAAGAAGTGAAGATTAAAAAAAAAACCTGCAAAGTCTTAAGTAAAATGAAACTATAATTTTAAAGACACAGGGAATAAGGTAGGAGCTCAGGGGGTTAAAACATACATATACAATAGCAGAAAGTAATGAAACCACACAAAAGATCTAAACATGAGGGAATAGTGTGCTGATAGCTGATAATATACATCCTAATCCCATCACACTGTTACTTCATTTTCTCCTGTTCTAAAATAACATCAAGATGAAGATATTCACATATACTTATGTATTAACACCTGCAGTTACTTGCTTGAACTATAATCTGAAGTACAGTGCTTAACATCATCTCTAGAGTGCCCAGGGTTCAAAACTTGGCTTGCCCACCTTTACGTGACCCTGAACAAATCATTGAACCTTTCTATGTCTTAAGTTGCCTCATCATTTAAAAAAAAAAAAAAAAACTCATTAAAATAGTGCCTATATTTTGTCCTGTTGAGAAAGTGAAATGATATATTCCTCTATACAAGCACCTGACAGTACCTGACACTATTGTCAGAGCTTCACGGTATTTCACACGAGGAAACTGAAGCTTAGAAGATAACCTTGCCCAGTCATAAATCTAGTCCACTTGACTCCAAAGCCCATGATCTTAACACTACTACTATACCACCTTGATACCTCAGCATCAGATTATGGATTTTTTTCTACTTATCTTTCCTTCCCCAATTATCAAAAATGAGCACATCTGCACTACACTAAAATCAGAGCAAAATTTTTTAAGTTAGAAGACAACGAATACTCTGGGCTTTGGGGCTTAAGAGAACAGAAAAGCACTGGTAGCATCTGAGAACAGCAGGTAGAAAGTAATCATTTGGAGTTATCTATCTATTCATGGCTGTGGGAAGACTCAGTGCAGAAAGTAAAAAGAGGAGGGGTAGGGACAATACACAGAGAAGGCAATGGCACCCCACTCCAGTACTCTTGCCTGGAAAATCCCATGGATGGAGGAGCCTGGTAGGCTGCAGTCCACGGGGTCGCTAAGAGTCGGACACGACTGAGTGACTTCACTTTCACTTTTCACTTTCATGCATTGGAGAAGGAAATGGCAACCCACTCCAGTGTTCTTGCCTGGAGAATCCCAAGGACAGGGGAACCTGGTGGGCTGCCATCTATGGGGTTGCACAGAGTCAGACACGACTGAGGTGACTTAGCAGCAGCAGCAGCAGGGACAATACAGAAGGGAAAAGAAAATTTTATACCATTGTTAGGGCAGCTGTAATTTCCACTTGTCTCTAGAGCTATATATCACCATAAATATCTGAGCCTACTACACACACACACACACACACACACACACACACATATACAGAACTAAATTTTTATTGTTGGGGGGGGGGTGTTTACCCAGGTATATCCTGAGCAGAAATTACATATGTCATAGTGAAAATACTGTGAACCTGAAAAGAAATCTTTGTTGCACCAACAGTTAAGTAACACTATAGGAAGATGAGAAATAACAATCATATTTACTTTAGATGCAATAATCTTGAGATATGGGTGGAGGGGAGAGGAGACTATACTGAAAGGAGAGAGGTAAAAAGAAGAGAAAAAAGAAGTTTACTCTAAGAATGTGTAATATGCTACCTTTTTGTAGAAAACAAAAGGGTCTATATGTGTATAAATAGGTACATACATAAAGAAACTAAGAAATGAATTAAAAGTCAGTTAACAATAGAGAAAGACAGAAAGCAAAACTGGACAAATATAGGTTTAGGGGAAAGAACTTTTACTGAATATCTTTTTTATGTATTTCGAGTCATGTCAAATATATCATCTAGACAAAAAATTAGGTCTTAGGTTATGTCAGTGACTACAGAAGTAGAGAAATTAAATTTAAGATGCCTAGGATACCTAAACATAGATATCCAGAAGGCAACTGCAAATGCGGATCTGAAGGTGCTAAGTGATGCCGAGAGGTATCCGTACCCATGCATAAATTTACATAGGTGAGGTGATCAAATAAACAGGCCAGGAAAGTAACCATGTAAACTTAAAATTTTCTTCAAGAAGTAAACAAGTAAAAAAAAAAAAAAAGAAAGAAACAAGTAACGCCAAAAAGGAATCCAAAAGGTCATGTTTATGAGGTAAAAGAAGAAAACAGTTTCTCGGAAGTCATGAATAAAGAGAGTTGCAGGAAAGATAGACTGATCAGTTTTAAATGCTGAAGGTAGATTAAGTTTCATGGAAACAAAAAAGAAAGTTTTGGATTTGGCCATGTGAAGCTAATAGCAAAAAATCAATAGTGACAGACTTTTTAGCAGTCAAATGTAATGAAGAATGAATGGATAGGAGTTTGTGATATTTTAGGATTTTGTGATATTTTACTTATTTATACCTAAAATTTTTTCAGAAAAAGATTTGAGGCAGACTACAAATAAAGTACCTACATTATAACAACAAGCAAATAGAAAAACGAACATTGAAAGTCAGTATGAGGGACACCCCTCTGATTCAGGGAAACTGCTCTTACCCCTGACTCCAACTCCAACTATGTAGTTCTAGTGAAGGTTGTCATTCTTAGTACCCTCCCCACTCCAGCCACAGGGATGGTGGTACATGATCCAAGACAGGCCAATCAGAGTCCTTCCCAGGATTCTTCAAGACAGCCCCTTCTTCTGGTAGAAGGGGCTAGAAGATGAGAGCCAAGAGCTGCCAGCAGTCATGGTTCCAGCCTCATGAAGTAGAGAGTCTGTAGTATGAGAGAATGAAATCAACACGCAGAGAAACAGAGATAAGAGATGAAGTCCTAAACCCCACAGGACGAGGAGAAGAGAACAAATATACTAATAATCAGATTAACGCAACTGATGTAATTAAAGACCAGATTTGGTTCTGGACTGCATGATAGCCAGAACAAAAAGAAAAACAGAATATGTATCATAGAGCTATCAAAAAGAAGGAAATCTACCAGATCCTAAAGGTAGACAATTTTTCCTATGCTGTATTAATTTGTTGAACATGAATTTTTAAATAAATAAAGGTCATTGAAAGGCAAAACAGACAATCTCCATGATGAGAGTCTTACAGCAAATGCAGATTACATATGCTACAGATCAAATCAACTTCCCTGGCGGGCCAGTAGTTAAGACTCCCTGCTTCTACTGCAGGGTGCCTGGGCTGGATCCCTGGTAGGGAAACTTAGGATTCCCCCATGCCCCTCAGTGCAGCCAAAAAAAAGAGAATTAAGTTATTTGTTAATCATTTAGTACAACTAACAGGCTATAGTAGGGAGCTGAAACAGAGGTATCAACTAATGGCTTTATTCTTCCAGAAGGCTCACTAGTGAAAAGAGGAAAGACAAAAAGGTGGAAAACATTTAAAGGAAAACTAAAATCCACGGGAAGATTCGAAAACAATTGTGAGCTAATGGGTCGGGGGTGGCGGGCAGTAAAAAGGACAGAAAAAAAATAAAACAAGACCTTGGAAGAAATGGGAAAAGACTACATCATGAACACAGGCAGTTAATTCCACTTAAAATTTAAAATTTTTAAAATACCTCCTCTCCTTCTGAAAATTCAACTGAATGACATAAAAGGGCACAAATCACAAAGGGAAAACAAACATAGAGGAAGACAACAGTTACAAAATCTGGGGAGCTGAAAAGGAGAGAAGCAGCAACTAACTTAACAGATCAGAAGACAATGCTACAGTATGACAAGTCCGAAAGCAATGTATCTCAGACCACACAGCAGCAAAAACTAGAGAAGCGTGAGGTGCCGCGCATCGGGGCAGGGAACTGCCATGCACAGCGGCGGTGCTGTGTCCAAGAGGGATGGGGTCCAGTAAAGCTAGAATTGGGGGGCATGAGGTAAAATCTGAGAAAAGAAAAAACACCCCCCTTCCACTCCTTCTACCTCCCCCCACCTACACGCATGCACCCACACACAGAAACACGCACGCATGCACATGCCAATTCCTTCACTATACACTACGAGGTAACTCGCTCTCCCTCAGCGTAGAAAACTGCAGAAAGGGTAAACAAGAGGAAAGGTGGACTTGGAGACATCACACACACCTGAGCAAAGGGATATTGAAAATCTAGTTCTAAATTGTGAAATTTCAGCAACCACTGGCTCAGAGTTGTAACCAGGTCTGTGAATCCCGAACAGATGACTGGAGGATTTTCCTATGAATAAACTAACCAGATGGTGGCATCCCAATAAAAGAACCCAGCCAGATTACCTATAATGAAGCCAATCAGCCACCAATTTCTGCCACACATACAGAGCTTCCAGTCACCTCAATAGGAACTTGTCTTTAACTCAGATGGATGGCTACAAGTCACTAACTTTGTAAGCAAAGTCCCTAACAAGACAGGCCAAAACAAACGGTACAAAGCAACTCTGAATAAGAGTCCTAAGAGCAGAAAACTTCAGAAAACTGAAAGAGAACAAAAACAACCATCTGATTGACATCCTCATGAAATTAAGAGAAAATATGCACCCAAAAAACAAAAGCAGATGATAAAAAATAAACACTCAAAAAGTATAAAAGAAAAGAGCCTTTGGTAATTAAAAGTATAATAAAATTTAGAAATTTACATGAAGGGATGGAAGATAAAATAGAAACTGCCTCAGAGAGTAAAACAGAAATAGATAACTTAAACAGCAAGATCAGTTCAAAAGGTCCAACATCCAAATAAAGAACAATACAGAAAAAGCAAACAATGACAACAAAACTGAGGACATATCAGAAGTAATTTCAGGGATGCCCCTGGCAGTCCCGTGGTTGAGAATCCACCTTCCAAGGCAGGGGATGCAGACTCGATCCCTGGTCAGAGAACTAGGACTCCATATGCTGTAGGGCAACTAAGCCCAAACACTGCTACTAGGAAGCCTGCACGCCACAAGAGACTCAGTGCAATCAAAATGTTTTAAAAATATTTTAATTAAAAAAAAAAATTCTCCCTTAACTAAACTCATGATTCCTAACATGATTTACTAGGTTGAAAGGGACACTATGTACCCAGTACAATGAGTGAGGGGCAGCACACTACCATGAGAAATAGCAGAGATAAACTGGATACAGAAAACACACTAAATCCAGAGAGAACAATCCTATACAAAGGATTAGAATCAGAACTTCATTGGTCTTCTTAATAGAAATACTGACAGCTAAAAAGCAATGGAGAAGTAGCTTCAAATTTTTGAAGGGTAGTTATTTCCAACCAAGAATTCCATACTCAGGCAAACCATCAATCAAGATGGTAAAACTTTTTTCCTTTTTTAGAATTTTAGAATTTATGAAGAATCGAAATGATAGACTACCTGATTCATTAAGGAAGTGGAAAATTATATAAGAGGTGCCTACAAAGTATACAAAGATATAGGAAAATGAAAATACAAGACAATTATTAATCCCAGGAAAAAAGAAAAACTTTAACATAAGAAAGCAATCATAGTATGCTTTTGACTCAGAAATGAACAAAAAATACTTAGTCATAAAAACACAAAATTTTCTGTTTAATATACTACTGGATTAACCAAAATTTGTGGTATACAGAAAGACAACATCTAAAACTGATATCAAGAAGAGCTGCTTCTGAACTTCCCTGGTGGTTCAGTGGTTAAGACTCTGTCTTCCAAAGCAAGGATACAGGTTCAGTTCCTGCTCCAGGAAGGTCCCACAAGCCCCAGAGCAACTAAGCCTTGTACCACAGCTACCGAAGCCTGAGCACCCTAGAGCGCATGCTTCACAAGAGAGGTGCTGCAAGAAGCCCAGCAAGGCAACCGGAGAAAGTCTGTGCTCGGCCATGAAGACCCAGTACAGCCAAAACAAAAAATAAAAATTCTTAATGAACAGCTGCTTCTACATTCCTTGCCAAGAGTCAAGCAGCAAGGTACTGTTTTGATGTGTGTGAAAAAGAATCTTTTAGTACTATTAACAGTGCATTTATCACTTGGATAAACACAAAAATTAAAATCTAAACAAAAATGGAATAGACACAAAGGGCAATGTATCAATGTACCCCTATGTTTTCATTTCTCTTACTAGTTATGTTGTTTGTTGCTGTTGTTATTTGGTCTCATGTCTGACTCTTTTGTGACTCCATGAACTGTAGCCAGCCAGATTCCCTTATCCATGAGATTTCCCAGGCAAGAATACCGGAGTGGGTTGCCATCTCCTTCTCCAGGGCATCTTCCTGACCCAGGGACTGAACTCAATCCCCTGAGTGGCAGATGGATTCTTTACCACTGAGCCACACTAGCTTTGTAGGCAGGTTAGGAAATGATACAAACAAATGTTAAGCACTTACTTCCTGAGTGCTATTATGCTAATCTTTTCTCACAGTTTAAAAAAAAGGAATTCAAGAAGAGAGACAATGGAAATTGGTTATTTGCTATTCTGTGTATAGTGGTAAGAACTAAATCTTTTAATTTTTTTAAATCACCTCTTTCAAAGTTACAGGAACTTAGGATGCTATGCTGAATTCAAAAACAAACAGAACAGGGAATTCTCTGGCAATCCAGCGGTTAGGCTCCACATTTCCACTGCGGAGGCACAAGTTCCATCTCTGATGGGGAAACTAAGGAAGATTTCACAAGCTGAGCAGCACAGCATGGCCAAAAAAAAGGACAAATACTGGATATGAATCATCAGTAAGAGAAAAAAAAAATGTTAGCAAATATTTAACTTTTAAGGCATTCTATTTAGAGGATATAAGCTAAAAAAAACTAAAAAAAAAAAAAGTATATAGGCTAAAAAACTTGCACAAAATAAAAAAAAAGTAAGTGCCACTGAAGATACTCCATCCTGGCTTCTTGCACTCATAAGTCAGAGTAAAGGAGATAAGTCTGAAAAACAAATTTTTAATTATGTAAGTAAATCTAGTGGTACAAATAAAAAAGAACCTAAATGCTTTTAAAAAAAAAAGTCAAAATTAATTGAAGCTGAGGCAGACAACGAAAATAATCAATTTAATATGTACCTTAGAGGGTTGAGGAGAAGGCAATGGCACCCCACTCCAGTACTCTTGCCTGGAAAATCCCATGAATGGAGGAGCCTGGTAGGCTGCAGTCCATGGGGTCGCTAAGAGTCAGACACGACTGAGCAACTTCACTTTCACTTTTCACTTTCATGCATTGGAGAAGGAAATGGCAACCCACTCCAGTGTTCTTGCCTGCAGAATCCCAGGGATGGGGGAGCCTAGTGGGCTGCCCGTCTATGGGGTCGCATAGAGTCGGACACGACTGAAGTGACTTAGCAGCAGCGGCAGTTAGAAGGTTGAGACCCTAGATATGCTGAACAGTTTTAACCAAGTTTACTATGTAAGGACAGGAACTGGTAAGGGCTGATCCTACCAAAGGGGAATCTATGCCAAAAAAAAAGATGTATTGGACCACTAATACCAGAGAAAGCTCATTTAAGAGGATAACTCAGGTGAGAGGAAAACCACTTTCAACCCTTCCCATCCTTGTTTCTGCTTGGAATATCTCTTTACAGTCATAGTGAATGCCAGGCTGTGACTGTGGAACAATCCTAAAAATGAAAACCGTGTGTTAAGGTTGGCATAACAGGAAGACAGAAAAAGCCTGATCCCTAAAGATTTCACAGAAGGACTTCCCTGCAGTCCAGTGGCTAATATACGCTGCGCTTCCACTGCAGGGGGGCATGGGTTCCATCCGTGGTCAGGGAACTAAGATCCCTCAAGATG